TTTTATCATTCACATTCTTATCAATACATTTTTACAGTATTATTATTATTGTGAACCTTTCTATTAATCGTAGAGGTCGCTCTCCTGTACCTATTCACTATTCAACCTTTGATCAATAAATACATGTTCATTATAATAACATGAAAACGCTAGAAAATTTCCCATGTAACTTTTTGGATATTGATAATTTGTTTGATAACATCCTCAAATTCACTGCATACAAAAGTAGGCCTAAGTAAATGCCGTTTTCGTCAAAGTAACGCAGCCAGTGCTAAATATTACAAATCAAGAGTAACCTTAAATTATTGCTCATTTATTAAACAACTAAAGTAAGTTTTAAAATATGCCTATTCTTACATGGTAGACACCTTAAACCATTGCTCATGTATCGTTTTACCAGGATTGTTCTGAGGCAACTATAGTTGTTTTAGGATTAATGTTTACCCTACATTACGTGTTATCTTACTGAATACTTATTACGTTCCCAAATACTTGCGATGATTTTTTGCGATTATTTTGGAACGTACTGAGTATTCAGTACGATAAAACGTCAGGTAGGGTAAATCATCAATCCTACATTAAACGTTACTGTTTGCTCCATTGTTAATGTTTTAACTTTTCGTGTTGCTACGCTACCGTGTGTTACTATACTAAATAACGAGGTACAATCAATTGAGTTATGCATGGATGACATTAGTGTTATTAGGAAGTGAATACAGTCTGTTAGGCTTTATAGACTAGAACCCCTAGTGGACACATTTTAGTCCCGAATTTCCGAATGTGTCCCCTATTAGAGGTAACCAAAAACGTAAAATTGTCCCCTTAGGGGCTTTTAGTAACAAAGAAAAACAAAGAAAAAGAAATCCCTATTGCCAAGGGTCAAAACTAACAAGATTGGTGTATACAAGGAACACATGCAGTAGGTTTATACTGATGTTCACTCTAAGGAGAAAATGCTGCGTTTAATATAAAGTTGAATTAATTTTTCGTTAGTACTAGGAGCAGTGCTCAAGCATTGACTTATTATCTTTCTGTTCTTTCTCGATTTTATCCGACTTAAGTTCAAAATAATATATCTATTTTTATTTTATTATGCTCAATTACAAAATATAAAAATTAAACAAATACTAAAAAGTGATAACTATTAAAGATGAAAAATATTAATATAGATATATACATCAAAAGCATGTTATACGACTAAGCGCATGTCTTCACTACCGTACTATACTTTTAGTAGCAAAGTTTAGTGATGGTTTTATGAAGAGCATCATATCAACAATATACCCACATTTCAAAACAATGCATCTTTTATAACTATTTATTACCTTTATGTTATTTAAGTGTTTTAACTGCAACATTGCGTAGCTGTCTCGACGTAATCGAAAAAGCAAGAACGTAATAGTAAGTGAGTAAGCCAGTACACACGCAGACACACATACATATATATTTTATTTATGATAAGTAAATATAAAACTGGTTACATGTGGAGAAAAACAGAAAACAAGTAGTACCTGAATGGATAAATTATGTGAAACTTTAGGGTCTGAGTAACAGTGGCGTAATATACAGCAATGGAAAATATACCAAATGAATTATATGGTGACTAATATTGAATAGATCTATTGAGAGACTTGATGCTGTCAATTAAATTAATAAATGTTTGTTCAGTGTTCAATCTATTAGTTCATGGTTTTAAGATTTTTACAGAGAATTACAGCTAATTTGATATTATATGTCCTGGTAAATTAAAATGAAAAGTCCTGTCTTTATAATGCCGAACGTCAAACTCGTGACCATTTATTTGCTATGAAAATAACTTAAACAAAACCAGGACATTAAGTGCACGTAATGGCATAATAGACGTTAGATGAGGAAAATAATTGTGGTGATGTGAGACGCTTCTTTAGTATAAAGTTTTGTTTTGACGTTAGGACTTTCTGTGTATGCAAGCATAGATAGGTTTCTTTGTTATTTTATCAATCATAGGGTAGCCATATCGTATAGGTTGGAAATAAATGATGTTCCGTAATTTTAATTTAAATCGTTTCTCGTGGTATATCTGTGGCTCTTCTAAAAGTAGCTAGCTAGTGCTGAATAAACGTCATCTTAAATTTAGTTTCAGAGTGCTGTCTAATTATTTCTGTTTTTAGATTATATCAGAGCTAACAATAACAATGGCCAATAACAGAATATTCCGACACAAGCAAAACATTATTTGAATATGCATAGTCAATAAAACATATTACAATATTTGTAACGTTTACTTGTCGTTTTGTGGAACCCTGGTTAGCATATCCAAAAAGAATGGGCTTCAATGGTTCAATAAAAATAATAAACTACAAGAAAACAACTATTATATTTAATGACACTCTGTCCATCGTATTCCAAAAAACATATACTTTGAAATATTGTATGTATATATTTTTTTTTACTCACAGATGTGACAGTGAAGAAAATAACAGTATAGTGTCCAATTATTTTGACTGTTTATTATTAAAATCGTTATTAACACATTATTATTAACAGATATATTACTCCATTGTTACTACTGTAAACCTTTCTATTATTCATAGAGATCGCTATTCTGTATCTATTCACAATTCAAACTTTGATCAATATATTTACATATTCAATATAACATCATTAGATATAAGCTAGAAAATTGGAATTTGTTCGATACCACCCTCAAATTGACTGCAGAAAAAGTAAGTAAATACTTAAGTCTACGAGGAATAAAGTCATCTGAAATTAATTAAACCAATCATCAGTGTATATACACATACTGTATATATACGAGGCTGCGTATAATAATTTAAAATTTCAATAATGTGTAGCCTATTTTAGACTTTCTGTTTCCTCGTGAGTCAAGACCCAATTGTTATGGTCCCGCCACTGTCGGAAACTTTCTGTGTACCATTTAATGGGCTACGGTATATTATTCAGAGTATGATAATAGAGTTATTAAGAAGTGTATATAGACCAGAGTAAAGAGTTTTGACAACCATATTATGCTTTAAGTGTTTAACCATTTGGATATACTCTTTAACGCCCAATAATAATATAAGAAGGAATGCAAGGAGGTCGTTGTAGTTTGGTTTTTTTTTGGTTCTTTTTGGAAGAAGTTCCAGATGTTTGAAGAATATAATGTCTTGACACATCTATGACATACATATTTTTCACGTACACATGCCATTTCTTCTTCAAGTCGCAAAAAACAGAAATGCACATTATTGGCATGAATATGAATGTGCAAATAACTTGTATAAAACAAATTACAACTAATAGATACGCCATTGTAATTCAGAATTGATGAAATCTAACTAGAGAATCACTGGCGCGTCTAAGCTCTGCTGTCCAAACTATCAAATTTTCCTTGCCAAAAGACTAATATATGCCCATTTTTAGTCATGATGTGCCTAAATATGGTCATGATATGATGTCATCATGACCATATTTAGGTATGTCACATGTGTTTGTCACACAAAATTTGATAGTCTGGACAAATCTTTGTGCTATATTTGAATTTTTCATGGCTGTCGGAACATGGTTGGATATTATTTACAAATAATTTGTCCCTTATTCAATCAATTCATTTATTAGGTTTATTTTCAAAATACATCAAAAACTGAATTATAACAAATGGTTACAATTTTATATAGGGCCTATATAAACATATTATGTATATTGAAATAAATTGAATAAAATTCAACAAGATTATTTAAACTAATTGATGCTGCGAATATAGTTGAAAAGCGACATCAAAAAACATTTAAAAATTGAATTTAGAAATCAATTGAATAAATAGTTATAATTAAGACAGCATTATAAGAAATGGGATTAACAGAATTCGATTACAAAAAAAACATTGAAGTAACAATACTCAAAAGAATATATAAATTACATGAGTAACATTATATGAAGACTTTAACAAGCTGTATTAAAATATATCTTAAATAAACTAAATGAATGTTTTGTCGACAGGTCTAGATTGAACTTTAACAACCTACTACGCTGTTCCATGGTGTTTCAGTATTAAATGGAGACATAAGAGTCAATTTATTTCCTCCCTCACATTGATAGCGAGTCGCAGGTTCAATTCCATTAGAGTTTAATTGCATGATTAGAGACACTTTGTCAAAACGATCAGACATTATTATGTCCGATAAGACCTTTATTTAAATCATTGTATTTTTTATTCGAGCAGTTTCAATCTACCAATCATCATTTATATCAAAGAACAACGCAACAACATTAATAATAGTATCGGATGTATTATCAAACTAATCTGAAAAATGCTTTGTACTCCCCCCCCCCACCCCTTACGAAAAGTTCTGGATCCACCCCTGCAGAGAATTGACGAAACCAACCAAGATAACTCCGAGAATCGTGTGAAATTGAGATTAAACCTTCCATAATGCCAATTGTGAGTGCGAAGTTGTACGGATAAAACAAAAATCATTTTTCTTTCTTAAATACTACCTTCTTAAAAACTAATCTAATCGATTGGCATTGCCGAAATTTCAATCAACATTTTATATTATTCAGAAAGGTGTACTTTGTTAATTTTTATTTTTACTTGGATATTGTTGCCATAGTTCAACAAGACGAGTGTTACGCTAACACGGGCGTTTGTTGGACAACACGTGTGCTTGTTGGACACCAGCGTATTCCTAACAATCTTCTGATTGGTCAATTGTTTGTTTGATTGCCACACCGAAAAGGTCCACTTCCACCCTGTTTACTTCTCACTTGTCATCCACTGTCTCTACATTTTCCCTATTTAAAGCGTCTTCTTTGTTCAGTAGCCATATGAGCAGTGCTAAATGATGATCTTTCTATTTCGAAGTATTCAATACCATATACTATATAAACACCATATATAGGCCTATCATGATGCCACAGAAAGACCATTTATTAACTTCCACTACTGCAAACATAGAGTTTATCCATCAATTTTGTTTATGTATTTTGCTCATTTGACTTAATTGTACAGTCACGGTTTATCAAACCAAGACAGCAATACAGAATTATACTGTCTGATAAACATTACAGTAACCTTACGTTTAAAAAATTCAAACGTATATTCAATACATACTTAATTGGCCAAGATAACGTACTACTTATTATGACAACCATGTACACCTTTGTGTTTAATGAGAGATAATGATTACGATAAAAATCAACTTAATTTGTATTCTTTTTTTAATATATCGTGTTAAAGCACTCATGCAATACCAATACCATTTGAATGAGCCTATTATTTTTTTTTTTGCGTTTCAGATGGCATCAGAGATCACGTTGTTTGAAGATGCAAATAAAGAATTTCTAACATGCTCCATCTGTAAGGACATTTTTAAACATCCAAAACAAATAACATGCATGCATAACTTCTGTCAAGATTGCCTACAGCCTCTAATAAAGGAAGGAACGCCACACAAGTTAAAGTGCCCCCTCTGCCGAGAGGAAGTTGAGCTGACGGTAGACACCATTGATGAACTAGAAGATAATCTTTTTCTCAGTAATTTGTGTGAGTTATTTCTAGTTGCTAATCTCAATACCGTGGACGTCCTCTGCTCATTTTGTTCAGAAGCATTAAACGAAGGAAATGCATCACGTTGCATCGATTGTTCTGATAACCTCTGCGATAAATGTGCAAAGACACACACCCTGACCCGCTTGACAAGAAATCATCAAGTCATCTTGATGTCAGAGCTTAAAACAGAAACCCTGGTGAGAAAATCAAGAGAAGGAAACGTCAAGATACCATGCCAGAAACACTCAAATAACCATTTGGAGTACTTCTGTCAAACATGTCAAGTACCCGTATGCCTCGGATGTACTGTTGTAGACCACGTACGTCAAAATGGTCACAGCCTCATAAACCTACAAGATGGTCCGACAAAAGAAAAATTCAAGGAGCAGATAACCGAGCAACTTAACAAGCTAGAAGAAATCATACCATCTTTTGAAAAGCATATTGATATTGCAAATGAAACGGAGAAATGCCTTATCAAAAGTCTTGAAAAAACCAAAAATGATATACGGGATACTGCTAAGAGTCTTATTGATGAAATCGAAGCTCACTCTAAGTCTTTGATTGAGAAGGTCGATAAGAAAGCTGAAGCTATTCAGAAGTCAGTTGAACATCACAGAGAATCTGCTGAAATCCGGGTCAAGAGTTCTACCAAGATCAACCAGTTTGCTAGAAACCTGTGTAAGCATGGCCTAAATGCTGAGATAATGTCATCGGCTAAAGATCTGCTGAGAAGAATGAAAGAATTGCAAGAGGATATGAAAGATCTAGAAGGAACTGGTGAACTACGTTTCGTCAGACAAGATGAATTCAAGTTTGGAGTAGTGAAAGAGTGCAAGATCATAGTTAGTATACAATTTTGTACATTCAAACTGATTAATTGTGATATATTTCTCATTAATTATTAATTTGTAAGCAGTGTAAGGAAAGGGAGCTCAATTAACCTAAAAACACGTCACACCTACTATAGTGACGCAAAGACGTACCAGCTGTATGGTGAACAATGTAGAAAGAAATAAACAAGATAAAATAAACAGCAATTCTTCTTCTTATTATTATTAATATTATTGTTATTATTATAAATAATATTAATTAGGCTCACTATATTGTTACTATTACTATTTTTTTTTATCAGAGTCACCTTATAGTATAATAACTGCTGTTATTTTTAGGAACGGGATGAGTACAGCTTATTGGAATATTACACTGAAAAGGAGATGGCGGTTACTAACAGTGTTAAAAGAGGTCCACATTGGCCGACAGGATTTGACGGTTACGACAATAATGGACGTTACAATCAAAACAGAATCCAGTCAATTCGAAGAAACGGGCCGAATGATATAGGAGTTACGGTTTGCTTTCAGTCAGGTAGTAATATGGAGTGCAAAATGAATCCTGGAGATTACTGGTTACAGCCAACGAATGTATCTTCCAATTACCAGGTAAATAATTGTTTGTAGGTAATTTACACAATCTAGAACAAACATTACAGTTGTTTTTGAAAATTTATTCATTAAATCCAATCATTAGAAGGCGTATTTGATACTAAAGCCAACATTATGGTAAAATGTTTTATGTATGAAAACGGTGATCTGCTCTTGTAGTATAGTCAACTTGTCTTCAGCGAAAATTTATTAGGCATAGGTCTATGGAGCCTATTAATCTAAGTACTAAAACATATAATGGTAGAGGCTGAATTCTTGTAACGTTAGCCCTACCATTCTATTAACAAAATAATTAAGTTAATGGGTTTTTACACTTTTTTATAATAACATCCTTTATTACCGTTTAATTACTACAATTTCTAAAGAATGAGGCAGAGTTGATATACAAATTTTTTGTTCTGTAATTAGGCCTATATAAGAATTAGCATTTTTTATATAAATGTTTTTAAAAATAAGCATAGTTTTAAAAAATAAAGTTAAACATTTTTTTTTGTTTTTAGAGTCGACTGGAATGTTATACTAAAAATTTTATGAAAGTTGGAGATGAAGTGAAAAGAGGCTTACATTGGCCTCCAGGTTCATATGACTCGTACGATGAAAGAGGACAAAAGTCAGGAAAAATCACGCAAATCAACCAAACACAGAGTGGTACTATTGTTACCGTAGATTTTGGACCACCAGGCAACCAAACCTGTCAATTTCCAATGAATACCGGAAACTACCACTTGTTGCCCCTTCATTCGTACCCTTTCATTCATTGGGTTGAGTTTTAAATGTCACAAAGTATGTATACTCAGGCCCGTAGCCAGGTTCTTCCAAGGTGGGGGGGGGGGTTTCTGAGCCTGAGGTCCACAGTCGAAGTCCCGCTGGGGTCGGCGAAACCCCCCAAAGCAAGAGGGTTTTTGTGCTTTATGAGTCTAAATAATGCTATAAAAGCAGATATGTCTGGGTGGGTCTGCAGTGCATTAGTTGGGTTGGAGGAATTATTTGGGAAATTTAAAGAGGGGGTTTCGCCAGAAAAGAGTGGGGTTTGCTACAAAAGGGGGTTCTCCCGAACCATAAAAACCCCCTGGATACGGGCCTGATACTGTATGTTGAAATTATACTCTTCAAATTCCAGACGAATTAAATATGACGAACAGTCCAATTGCTACTAACTTGACCATCGTGTTCGTTTTTAGATAATAAGTGAGGAATGTTTAGATTTTACAGCCATTACTTAAAACCTGCTACACTGCTACAGTGTTCAAACTACAAACACTACGTAACTGTATCGAATCAAGAAAATAGGAAAGTAGAAAGTAAGAAACCAAGCCTATATATATATAT